CTATGGTATTTACTCAGTGAGTTGAAAAACATATGTCTCCCCTAAACATGCACATAGATGCTTACAGAAGCACATTCATTATTGTCAAAATCTGGAAGCAACCAAGATGTCCTTCGGTAGATAAGTGAGTAAACTATGGTATATCCAGACGATGAAATGTTATTAAGCACTAAAAACAAATGAGCTACCAAGCCATGAAAAGATATGAAGGAAACTTAAATGCATATTACTAAGTGAAAGAAGTCAACCTGAAAAGGCTACATTGATTCCAACTATATGACACTCTGGGAAAAGCACTACTATGGAAACAGTGGTTGCCAGGTGTTAGGGCAGAGGGAGGATGATAAGACACAGCATAAAGGATTTGCAGGGCAGTGAAACTGTTCTTTATGATACTATAACTGGATAAATGTCATTATACACGTTATCCATAGAATGTATATCAAGAGTGAGGCCTAATGGTAACTTTGGATTTTGGGTGATGATGTGTCAACATAGATTCATCTATTGTAATAAATGTATTACTCTGGTGCCAGTGTTTTGTTTTGTTTTGTTTTGTTTGAGATGGAGTCTTGCTCCTGTCACTCAGGCTGGAGTAGAGAGGTTCATTGCAAGCTTCACCTCCCATGTTCAAGTGATTCTCCTTCCTCAGCATACCGAGTAGCTGGGATTACAGGCATGCAACACCACACCCGGCTAATTTTTGTATTTTTAGTAGACACAGCATTTCGCCATGTTGGCAAGGCTGGTCTGGAACTCGTGACCTCAGGTGATACACCCACCTCAGCCTCCCAAAGTGCTAGAATTACAGGAGTAAGCCACTGCGCCCGGCCTCTGGTGCCATTGTTGATGGTGAAGGATGCTGTGCATGTGTAGGGGCAGGGACTATATGAGAACTCTGTAATTCCACTCAATTTTGCTGGGAAAGCCACTCTAAAAAATATATTTTTTTAGTTTACCAGCTTCTTCTTTACCCTAATTGTAAAACTGTAGCCTTAGAAAGAGATAAGTTTCTGACCCCAAGTTTTATTCCAAAAAATCCTTTAAGAGTTCTTTGCCGACCGTGGGGACTCGCTCATAAAGATAAGATTAAGAATTGCCTTTCTACCATGTCCTGTTTTAAACAGTCTCAGGGTAGCTATCATTGTAATGGGAACTGGAGACTGGGCAGAACATAATGGCTAGTAGTAAGTCTCTTTGGCCTGAAAAGTCCATGACTACACAAGTTCTTTAACTGAAGTTATTTGTGCACGAAACTTACTGAATGACAATAGACAGAAATACTACGAGATGTTTGAGAGAACTCTAAGACTATTTTATAATAGACCATGTTAAACACCAAAACTCTACCTGGACCCTAACTTGCACAAACAGGAAGTAGAGTGATGAAGCTGTGCATCCCCCAAAGCCTTCTTCACTAATGCCCATCTCAGCTGTGGTCATCAAGGAAAGAGTGCATTCAGTGTAGTGCATTCAGATCCTCTCCAGGACTGAAGAATTTGTTTTCTCGAGCTGCTGGGAGTGTTCCTGGCTAAGAGCCCTCAGCTGTCAGTCTTCTATAAAGGGTCAAAGCTTCAGACCTCCTTCTGATTTGCTGAGGCCTTTGCTGAGACTGTATCACACCCTGATGTCTCCCTTTGCCCTCTGCTGAATTTGGTTCTCTTTTCTGCCTTCACACTTAATGATCCCCAGTGCACACCCTAATAAACTTCCTGCATACTAGGCTCTGTCTCAGAGTCTGCTTCCCCTTGAGCTTTATTTTTAAAAACTAGAAAGACTTTTCAGAGAGCAGAGGCTGAGGCTATTCCATGGGCTAATTAAAAAACATCACCTACTGCTGCAGCAGGGCACCCTGGCTATTGAGCAGGCTACCTATGGTTCTTGTATTCCCTTTTCTGAATAGGAACGTGTGTGTGTGTGGGTGTATGTGTTATTTCTCTAAAAACTGAAAATTAGTCATATTGACATTTTCCCCCTTAGCTTAAAGTAGCTTTCTAACAGACTATTGATGCACCATGACCTAGAAAAAAATCTTTGCAGAAACTTACATGACGGTCTTCTTCCATGTGTGTTGGTATGACAAGATACCTTAAAAACAGTAATTTTTGTTTGTTCCTTTGTTTTTAAAGACAGGGTCTTTCTCTGTCCCCCAGACTAGAGTGCAGTGGCATGATCATAGCTCACTATAAAAACTGGGTAATTTATGAAGAACAGAAGTATATTTCTCACAGTTCTGGAGACTGGGAGGCCCAAGATCGAGGTTCCAACAGATATGGTGTCTGGTGAGGGTTGCCGTCTGCCTCTCGAATGGTGCCTTCTTACTGCCTCCTGACAGCAAGGTAGAAAGAGGACAAAAAGGGATAAATGCTGTGTCCTCACATGGTAGAAGAGATAGAAGTGCAGGCAACTCTCTGAAGCCTTTTTTAGAGACAGGATCTTACTCTGTTGCCCAGGCTGGAGTGCAGTGGTGTGATCATAACTCGCTGAAGCCTTGAACTCATGGGCTCAAATGATCCTTCTGCCTTGGTGTACCAAGTAGCTGGGACTACAGGCACATACCACCATATCCAGCTAAGTTTTGAAGTTTCTTGTAGATAAAGGGGTTTTACTATATTGCCCAGGCTAGTTTTGAACTTCTGGCCTCAAGCGATCTTCCTGACTTGGGCTCACAAAGTTTGGGATTACGATGTAAGCCACAGCACCCAGACTGAAGCCTGTTTCATAACGGCATTAATTACATTCATGAGGGCAGACCCCCATGACCTAATCACATTCCAAAAGCCCCTGTCTCGTAATGCCATTACCTTAGGGGTTAAGTTCTGACACAGGAATTCCAAGGAGACGCCCACGCTCAAACCATAGCAGTCTTTGTCAAAATGGACTAAATATTATTCAATTAGAATTGATTACTGTTAAATAAGAATTTGAACTATGAATACTATATTCTTTCTTCATTTGGGGAGACCAATTGTTCTAAAAGCAAGGCCTCCTCACTTTATTATGTTATATTATTTTGCAAAGAACACTTCCCTCAACAATCAAAAATTGCCTATGAAATTTTTTTAAACACTGTCATGGGAATGTTGGGTGCATATAACTTGATTTTTAGTTCATAAGACATGGAAGTGTGAGATGCTACATAGAGACCTAAGGCCCTTCTGCATGGCTGATCCATCCTTGTAAATGTTTTTGTAATTTGGGCCACCTTTAAACTACACCATTCCTCTGCTGATCAAAGCTTTATTATGACATTTACTTTAGAGACTTGATCTCTGTGCAACAATGACTCCCATTAGCAAGTAGATATTTTCAACTTGTTCCACCATCATTACATTTGGGTTTATTAATACAGGGCTTCTTGTTTCCAGAATGATTATAGTTGCAATTTACTGATTACTTTGCATATTTCACCTCAGTTAACCAACAAAGCAGATAGGTATTGTTTCTATGTTTTACATAACTGGAAATTGAAATGTGGAGCAGATTTGGTTCTCTGGAAGCAAAAATAGATTAGGGATCAACAACTGTGAAAGGAAGAGAGCAGAGGAAGAAATTAAACTGGGCCATAGGCCTCATATACCCTTAGCAAACGCAGTTGGGAACTCTGGATCAAGTATTGCCCATCAGCTTCCCATGTCAGGTCAAAATGGCCAGCAATCTATATACTTTCCTTGCTCCATCATTGGATGCAAGCTGTAATGGGAAAGCATGACGCTGGTCAAGGTGTGTCTCAGCTGAGCAGAACTGGGAGAAGTTTACATTGGAGGTACTCTACCTATTGCATTCCCCCCAGCTAAGAGCAAATACAATGTTGAAGGGGGATCTGAGAGGTGCATCTCCATCTCTGTGTCTACTACAGACTCTAGGAACATAGAAAATCTATTAAACGTCCAATAACTAGTAAGTGACAAAGATTTGATACCATGTTTTATGTGATTCAAAAACTTACGTCCCCTGCCAACTCATAATTGGTTTCTAAATATTCCTTCAAACTAATATATCAAAATCACCTTTGGAGCTTTTTAAAAATAGTGACATCTGAACTTCACCCTGTGAGATTCTGATTCAATGGAAATGGGTAGGATTCAAAAATTCCACCCATTTTATTAAAAGTGCTCAGGCTGATTATAAAGTACAGTCATGTATAGAAACCATTTCTAACAATACCATTAGTAAAAAAAATTACACCAAATAGAAAAATGTCAAAGTTTTTAAATGCTGGACTACATTTACAGTAAAGCTATGGGATATTTTGGGGGGAAGTTAAAAAGATCAGAACCAAGATTCATCTCTCTGGGATTGTCTAACATCAGGGGAAAGACTTTTCCAGGGCCCTGTGTCATGTTTTGTGATTGCTGGTTCTCTGATCACCTAGGGGTAAAATATTGCAGGAAGTATAGCTGCTTCATGATTCTTGAAAGCAACTGAGTCTGTAAGTGAACTAAAAAATTTGCCCTCCAAGTAGTTCCTGAGATGTTTGTAAAAAGAATTTGAAGAAACCAAATTCTCTCTTTTTGTTTTCAACATAAAACTAATTATAGGTTCATGTTTTTAAAATTGTTTCAATATGTAATGCAATCGCTTTTGAGAATGTAGTAAATTCTTTAAATTTGCAAATGTAAATGAAAATTATAATTTTTGGTTTAAACGATACATAATTATGATGGGATTACAAAAGTTATAAGCTTAAGGCAATACTGAGTTGTTACTGGAATAACAAATTTCTGAGTCTAGCTTCTTTCCATTTTTTTTTTTTTCTAGAACAAAGATGGGAGTGAGAATCTGACGCAGAGTTTTATCTACAGTGAGACTCTCAGGACTCTAGCTGTGGAGAGATAAAGAGGTAGGCATGCTAATAAAAACAAGAAGATATATATATATATGTATATTTTAAATACATTAGATGCTACATGAGGGTTTTTCCAAATTTTGTCTAATTAGTATGGACTTTTTAATATGAAAAAAATATTTAAAATAGTGACATAACAGTTTAAAGCTGAGATAAAGTTAACACGACCTCTCTCCAGTTTGGGACAATATCCTGAACTTATGGGCTATGGCTTTTGACCTGTGCACCATTTTAAAGGGACAGTAAGCCTTGCTTCAGCTGCCACAGGAAGCTTTTACTCTACTGTGAACACAGGAAAATGAAAAAGCTGTGTAAATAATGCACAAATATTTCCCAGGATGTTTATCTGATTGGTAATGAAAATTCTAAAAGGCTATGTGTAGCCTCTCTGTATTATACTATATTATAGGACCAACACTAAAGGTGAATGTGAGGAAATAGTAATACTGGCTGAATGCGTTCTTTAAAATCAGCAGTAGTAGCAACTCATTCATCATTTATCTCCAACCATAGCACATTGTCTATTTGAATCAATAAATATGTGATAACTGTTTTTTAATTTTACTTACTTAAAACCATTGAAGTTTGGCCTTGGAAAAAAATCATCAGTATCTGAGGAAAAAACTTACATAATCGACTTCTGTCAATGACCGCAAATGCCACAAATCTAGATCTCTCATTTGGAGTCTCAAACAGCAGGTGAATTTGATTAGCTCCTATAAGCTAAGCTAGTTATTACAAGTGGTTGTGGAGAAAACAGCCTTATGGTGGCCTGTGCCATCTGATCTTGAACTTTTCCATTTCTTCCTTTACGGTTTCTATTCTACTTCATTAAGACAACAACTGTATGATGAATGTTTAAAATGGAAATTTCCTTTAATTGATATTCAAGATCTCCTTTAGATTAGAACTTTATTTTCTAGAGAGAACATGTAGCCAATATTAATGATGATCTTGTTCCATTGATATGTATCCACAGATTAAAGACGACTGATCTTCCTTTTTCTGTTAAGGAAGTGCTTCCTGTCACTCATTTTCTCCATAACCTCAGATAAGTCTTCACTGGTTTAATGACAATAGGCATCCTCATCTTACCGTGACAAGTACAGGAAAAAAAAGAAACCTAAAATCTTTTACATAAAAGAAGTTTCATAATCACAGGCTATCACAAAGGGGAAAGTATATAGTTACCATTGATAGTTTTAACATAAATTTCCTGACTTAATTTGATTAAAATCTCAAAGACTGCAACAATGTAAATTTCTTTAAAGTTTAATTGCTCATTTCACTTTGAGAGCAGGAAAAACCTCAAGCTGGGGCAAAAAGGTAGTAGAGCGGAAGGAGAAGTTAAGGACTGAGCTGCTTTGCAGATCAGTGTTTGAAAGTGAACAGCCAACCTAACAAGAAGCAAAAACCACAGAACAGAGTACCACATTGTCTTTCTGTTCACTTTGTTTCACAAAATCATCCAGGCTCTTCCTACATTTCTCTCTTACCACCTTTCTCTCTCTCTCTCTTTTTTTTTTTTTTTTTTTTTTTTTTAATTTCACAGATGCCACTGGGGTAGGTAAACTGACCCAACTCTGCAGAACTCAGAGGACGAAGAGAAGACTTCTACTTGAGCAGTTTTTCCATCCCTGCTATGTGCCGGAAATGAAGACATTGCCTGCCATGCTCGGAATTGGGAAATTATTTTGGGTCTTCTTCCTAATCCCATATCTGGACATCTGGAGAATCCATGGTAAGGCACCTGCTTAGATTATTTCTGGTTTTATTTCTCAGGGAGCCTTGGAGGCAACATTTTTCCTTGCTGAACTTAGTCCGGTGTAATGTTTGTGCTAAGTGGGTAATCGTAGATAAAACCAAGCAGTTACATTTGCTTACCGAAGGCGTCGTAGAGCATAAACCAAGTTAGAACATAGTATTCACCTGCCTAAAACATAGGCATTGCATCCATAGCTTGGGTAGCTTTCTTAAAAAAACAGGTTGATGGTAAGAAAAGAGAACTGAGTAGATGCTATAAATAGTTAAGTACAAATCTATCACTACTTCTTGCAAAAATGCTCTGGCTGTCCTACTGATGATGAATAGATAGCTTTCTTTCTAAACTGAGTGCAGTAGAATGTTGCAGTGCTCAGTTGGGTAGGACAGATGTTGGAGTTACTCTCAAATAATATTGTCTCTAAATAAAATCTCTATACTTGCTTCAGTGGGGTGTATGCCTTGAGAATACCGATTGAGAAAAGTCACTTGCTACCTTATATTAACATAGGAACCCATGTATCGCCAAGAGGGAAACCCTATGAGTAGCTCATCGAAAGCTTCTGATTTTTCAGGGTTTATTTATATTTTATTTTTTTGAAACAGAGTTTTGCTCCCGTCACCCAGGCTGGAGTGCAGTGGCGTAATCTCGACTCTCTGCAACCTCCACCTTCAGGGTTCAAGCTATTCTCCTGCCTCAGCCTCTGGAGTTGCTGGGATTACAGGCACCTGCCACCATGCCCAGCTAATTTTTGTTTTTAGTAGAGACAGGGTTTCACCATGTTGGGCAGGCTGGTCTCGAACTCCTGACCCCAAGTGATCCACCTGTCTCAGGCTCCCAAAGTGCTGGGATCACAGGCGTAAGCCACTGCACCCAGCAATTTTTCAGGTTTTAAATATTCTGTCTTATTATACTCACAAGCACACATTTGTCAGTTTGTGTATTGCAATTTTAAATTAGAAAATTTGGTCACTGAGGTTCTATGGAAAGTCCATCTGTAATTTTAAACTGTATAGTTCGGAATTTCTCTCTATGATGCCAGGATGCCACACAACCAAGTGCAAAGTAAAAAAATTCTTAGCTACCCAAGCATTTTTATGTTTGCAAGTATCTAGTATTAAGTTGACTAGGTGCTTAGATGGTTAGCTGATTTTTTCACCTTCCATCAGATGCCTGTAGTCACATAGCTACAACTGGAGTCAAATTATTAAATAGAATTCATCCCCATTTGAAGGATACATAAAATACCCTCTGTGAAATTAAGACCAATGAGTTTCAGGACTAAACTGCATTGAGGGTGGGGTATGACATTTATTAATGTGCAACCTGGTGTTTGCAAAAGTGAACTTGGATGTTAGAACTGGGTTAATTTACTTGCTCCGCCATTTACTATATGGTCTTGATTTAGTCTCTTCTCTCATCTTTAGTTTCCTCACTTGTACAATTGAGATAATAATTGTAGCTAAATGATGGGCCACTATGAAGACTGCAAATGCAGTAATATGGGTAAAGTGCCTAGCATAGTAAGTATACATATTTAAAGCTCGAAAAATGTTAGTGCTATTTTTCCTATATTATTTTCACCAAGCAACCTCCATGTAATTAAATAAGAAGTATGTTTTAACATGATTATTTAAAATATTTGAGTTTTTAAAGTTAAATAAGTACAATTTATTTTGCAATATATTTAGCCCAAAATATAATGAATGAAATTATTCAGAAAACGAAATGCAGTCAGGAGCCGTGGCTCACACCTGTAATCCCAGCACTTTGGGAGGCTAAGACAGCTGGATCACCTGAGTTCAAGAGTTTACGACCAGACTGGCCAACATGGTGAAACCCTGTCTCTAATAAAAATACAAAAATTAGCTGGGTGTGGTGGGGGGTGCCTGTAATCCTAGCTACTTGGGAGGCCAAGGCAGGAGAATAGCTTGAACCCAGGCAGGAAGTGAGGCTTCAGTAAGCCAAGGTCATACCACTGCACTCAAAAAGAAAGAAAGAGAGAGAGAGAGAGAGAGAAGAAAAGAAAGAAAGAAAGAAAGAAAGAAAGAAAGAAAGAAAGAAAGAA